TTGCATACCCATGACCACATCACTTGGAATATGCCTAATCTCAGGTTCCCAAGCTAAGCAAGCATGAGTCTGGATAGTGCTTGGATGGGCGACCACCGAGCAAAATCGGTGTTAAAAGCTGCGGGGGCGTCGTGGTGGACAGCAGTGCAGACAACTCGATTGTTGTACTGAACTTCTACGCTCCCAGTTCTACGCTCGCCACTGTCACCGACCAACACTAACCAGCCACGTTCAAGTATTATCAACAAACCCCCGTCACTCAGAGCACGGGGAGGCCCTCATCCAGCAGTGGATTGGCAAAGGAGCTGTAACGTGCACGTCTGTGAGAAAGGGCTTTGTGGGTGATCGGATTCATCCAGTACAGATCAAATAGAAGATTATGACGTGGGTCTTGAATGCGACTGGAAGAGAGGGCTGCAACATCTACGAAGGACGGGGTTGACGTCATTGCTTCCACCATTCGGCTCTTCATCAGGATCATCACAGCCAGACGGGCTGATGATAGACACCCACCGTCGCGATGGCACGTGGCCTGCATTCAACGCTGTCCCCGCGCAGCTGGGCGGTGGTGGCAATGCAAGCCTGTATGCCACGGTGGCTAGGAGATGTTAACTACCTCGCCTGGTATACAGGACGTCGTGGGTTCGATCCCGACCCTGACGCCTGCTGCTGTATATTTGGAATGGGCCTGATCTACCCCGTGGTCGCGTGAAATGTTTTCTCCGGGTTCTCCCTCCACGTTTACAAAACATGCTTTGAGAGAATTTGGCTGCTATACATTTCCACACGATAAACCGATTCGTTGACCTATCATTTGTATAGGTTTTTAGTAGTTGATAAACGTAGTTTAACTGGAGTTGGAGGATCAGACAAATGACAAGTGTGGCGAGACTCCCTTCGTGTGGACATCGAGGTGCAAATACTCTGGCCAGCCAGCAGAATGCAGCGCAGCAATGTGTTGGCTCATGTCATCTGTCTCTTCCGTATGGGATAGAGTGTTGCCCCCTTGCATCCATTCCCCCCACGTGTTCCGGTTTCCTCCCACGTGTTTTTGTATTGTTTGTTGTTGTAACGTTCTTACCCGCCCCGATTGGAAAGTGTACAAGACGCTGCCGAGGCCGGTGCTGTTGTGTGGGGCCGAGTGCCGGGGGCACGAGGAAGAGGGAGGGCCAAGCTTTGTCAGTCACAGAGGATGTTGCGGTAGATAGTGGGTTTAACAAGCAAGGACAGGGTGAGAAATGAAGAAGCGAGAGGGAGACTCAAGGTGGTGGAAATCGCAGAGAAGATGAGAGAGAGAAAAGGCTCCGAGTGTGGTTCGGTCATGTGGAGAGACAGCAGGAAAATTGTGGGTCAGAAGGAACACGTAATGCAAGTGGAAGAAGGAAAGGGACCAAGAGCAAGGGCAGAAGTGGAGGTGGGGCGATGTGGTGCGATCGGACACGGTGGCCCGAGGAGCAGAAAGAGAGATGGCACAGGACAGGGCAGCGTCGAGAAATCTGGCACAGCGGAACACCCCCACGAGTCCGGATAAACGCATGGAAGAAGAATACATATTCCACGTGATAAACCGTTGCATTGAGCTATGATTTGTGGCGAGGTCGCTTTAAGAAACAAGAGCTTTACAGCTCATCGGATTACTCCAGTATGAAATAGATATTCAGATGTTGATGTATCACAAACACTAATTGGCTGAAAACATCTTCACAAATGGCGAACTCCAGAGCGTTCGTTGGCGTCGGCTCACCGAACTGGCTTCCTTCCAACTCGTGCCTGCGATTCCTCGGAGCTTGCGAGATGCAATTTTGCGTGGACGACTACAACGACGACGACGCGATGCACAACTCTTCATTTTTAAATTACGTCAAGTGAGATGAGTCCCCCCTCGTCAGCCCGTGCTCAAGCAGGGCCTCTCCCGAGCCCTGCTGTGGCTCGTGGCAGCTCTCTGACCACTCCACTGGCCCGTTCGCTGCGGGCTTGCAGAGGCGGGGAGCACAGCACGATGATGGATTTGTGTTGTTGATGTTGTTGATGTCGTTGCATTCCTGTACCCTGCTGACAACGCAGCGCCAGTACACTTCTACAGCCCCCCCCACCCACAGCCTCCTCCATACAAGCCGGGGACCCCCCCCGGGGACCCCCCCCCCCGGGGACCCCCCCCTCGGGGACCCCCCCCCCCCTTGTATTTTACTTTCTCCGACACTGCCAGCCCCGCCGCTCCCGACCTAAGCTACCAAAAATAAACAAAACAAAAAACCCGAATGTTTTACCGGCGCGATTTTTCTACGTAAACGAGACAATAGATTATCCCCTCCCCCCCACGGATTGTCTCCCCCCACCCCCCCCCCCCCGGGACCCATCAACCAGGACACATCGGGCATATGATGTGTCCTGGCGGATATTCGTGTGTGGTTGTTTTCTGTTGTCACCCAACGTCGTTGCTGCGAGCCCTGCGTTCTTGTGTACAGCAAACAAAAAAATCTGATGAACAAAAAAATATTGAATCTCAAAAAAAAATCTGATTAAAACAAATATTCATTCTAAAAAAGAACTGATGAAAAAAGTAATTTATCTAAAAAAAAATCACACCCAGTTATGAATAGGGGTTCGCTCATCCAAGTAATGTAGTTATCCAGGGTCAACCCGGCTTGGCTTTGGAGATCTGACCCGTTTGGGTACGGGGGTGGGGGGGCATTCCGGTTACATTTGGCGTTGGGCAACGGGGTGCTTGAATGTGTGTGATGAATGGGCGTGCAAATATAACGCACGCGTGGTGGTCCCCTTAGGCAAACAGAAGAAAGTTGCCCTCTGTGGTTTTGCCAGAGTTGTGACCCTTGCCATATCAACCCGTTGGGGTTTTTATTATACAACTCGTTTTAGAGTCCAAATTTCAATTGCTTATGGTCGAAGTGGCTGTAAAACTTTCAACGTGGACCGGCCCACACCCCCACCCCATTAAGAACACACATCAGCGTGACTAAACACATTTTCAGACTGAATTCCAAAGGCTGTTGTTGTTGGTGGGGCCAATACGGAGCGCCACGTGAATAGTGAACGGTGTCGGTGACATTGTAGGGGTGGGGGAGCGGTGGCGGAGCGGTTATAGCGCTCTGTGCTACGAACCCCGCGTCCCGAGTTCGATTCCCGCTCACGGCCAACAGTATCAAGTATCTAAATCGGTCCTGGACCTCCCCTAGGTCGACTTGGCCTCAAATGAGTATCTTGGTGCGGTGTGTAAATATCGGCACTTGGGAGACAAATGCGGCCGGGCGTGGTGCTGGCCACCCACCCCCTCGTGTCCCGTCCCGGCCTTCAATAGGTGCTCGCTAACAGCACTTGCCCCAACACTGTTAAGGCTACACGTGGGATCTGTCTTAATAGGATAACTCAACAGTGGTTGTCCAAATGGAGGGACTCGTTTTTACCATATGAATGTGGAAATGTCCACCACTGGATCTGGATCATTGCCTGTAAACAGGAGGTGAGCACCGCCTCTATGATCATTGGAGTCGGAAATCCCTTTGACTTATTTTTGATGGTTTTGTGTGATTCGTTTCCACTCTTCGTGTATATATTTGTTGTTTCATTGCTGTTAAATTCGAACATCTGTATTGCCACATTGTGCACACTTCCAATGACTGATTGCCGCGATATAAAACCAAAAAAAGCGACACCGTTTTGTCAATGCGCTGCTGCACAAGGCCTCTTCATACCCTGTCAGTCCTGCGGTGGGCAAGGGCTATCAAGGGTTATGACAAAACAGGTTGGTGAAGGAGGGGGGGGGGGGGGAGGCGACTGCTCAGAATATAACTTACCAGCTTCTTCGAGCGCAAATCCATTTGACCCATGATGTAGCTGCTCAACCCGAGCTCCCAATGTCCTGATAGTGGCATTGTCTTTGTGCTGTTCGCCTTTTGGCGTCCTCTGGTCTAACGGTGTTTGAGACGAGGCTATAAAGAAAGCTATCTTTGGTGTGGACCAATCAGTTTCAAAGACAATGCATATACTATCAGAGCATGGTTTTCTTTTATTTTCACCACAAGTATATGTGGTTAATGCAATACATGATCCCTTGCAAAAAGGTTTCAGCTTGGTGTTTTAACATCTTAACACCTGTTGTATTGCCAGAAAGGATAAAACCTATTCTTATTTTCTTCTAGCGTATACCGCTGCTGTTAGCTGTGGCCAGGAAATGAACTCTGGTGACTGGGTTCATAGTTAAGTGCCCCAACCCCTGTGCCAACACTCCAAGCTATTGCCGAAGTCATCGAAGCCCATTTGTTACGTGCGCGCGATTAAGCAAGCAAATTGCGGTTCGATGTAGCACTCACGGACGAGTGTGTTGTTCAATTAACGGTGCCTTCTTAAGTTTGGCATCTGAGTAATTTGTATCCGAGACAATAAAATAAAATAAAAATGCCAAAGTCTTTTTTGGGTTTCCTCAAACTCCACTCCGTTCACTGCGCTTTAGAATTGGCCAGGCTGCATCTTGGATTAGGGGGCTTCTGTGGAAGATATTCTTTAACGATAATGCATTACACTGATTACAGATGTATTATTCAGTGATCGGACGGGTTTACAAATACCTTTAAATAAAACATCTGCAAAAAGAGAAACGCGATTGAATATGCCAAATCGAGATCAATGAGGCATGTTGCATTATTGTGTATAAAGAGATTCCACCCCATATCAGGGTATGTCCCGAAACTCCACGAAGCTAACACCTTCAACTATAGCAGTCCGTACGTTCACTGGGCGGCAGTTACCTTTGCAAGCAATCGCTCAAACCCCGAATGTAAATACAGCGCGCTAACAACGACAGTTCTTGTGTCCCGAGCGTGTCCTGCTGTAAACGTGTTTAGTTTGATATATTTTTTACATATATTTTTCCTTTCTCAGCCCGCTGTGCTCCAAAGACTTTAGAAAGCTGTCTCCTTGGCTACAGCGTCTGTTGTTGGGTTGGGTTGGGGTGGGGGTGGTGGTGGTGGTGGCGGCGGCGGCGGTGGTGGCTTCGAAGGGCTTGCAGGAGGGGGTTGTGCCTTCTTTGGACATCGGTCCACCTGGGTCCGCCCCGTGCATTGGGACAAACTTATAGCGGCAGCTCGAATCCCAGCGCACACTCGCACGCACACACTTACACTGTCGCACGCTCCTGGCAAGACAAGATCGCTGATTGGAGAAGGAAGATCAACCCGCTGACACTCGCTGTCCCTCCACGTCACAAGATGGGCAACAAGGTTGGCACAGTTCAGGTGAGAATGCCATCATCGCCATCATTGCAATCATCATTATCATAATCATCTTCAATGGAACTCATCACCTCCAGCAACAATGTCGTCAGCGAACTTCCATATTTATCCGTGACTTTTGTAAACAAAAAAACCCTGCATCCTAGTTTTTGCATCTTTGATGTCAATCCTGTCAAAAAATATGTATAATGTGCACCAGTAGTTTTTTTTTATTATGCCAAATATGTATCGTATATTCATAATATAACCCTCTGATATGGGTTTAAATTCAGTCGTTAAAACAATGGCAATTATTTCCCCAGGGAATCTTCGTCGAGTCCCCAAGACTTTATTCTCACGAGGGTCCTATATTTGAAGATGTTTGGCCAACTCCACTGTCGATGAGAGAGATTCCCCTTGCGGGAGGGCATCTGTGCCAAACGTCCCCACTTGCGCGCACGAAGGCAGTGACGCACTCCGCGCTGCCATCTCCTGGACACAGCTCCGCAGCCACCCCCTCCCCCCGTGCCCTGTGACACCTGGGCACCCGAGTCCTGTTCGGCTTCTCGGATCCGACGAGATCGGCTGCGTTCAGAGTGACTTCGCCGTAGATAGTAAGGTTGGTTTAATGGATCTATTTTGCGCACAGTGCCACGGTGGCGAGATGTTAACTACCTCGCCTGGTGTGCAGGAGGTCGTGGGGTCGATGTCGACCCTGAGACACCTGCTGTATATTTGGAGTTTGCGTGTTCTCCCCGTGGTCGCGTGGATTTTTTTCCTCCGGTTTTTCCCTCCACACATTGAGAAACGCCACGCGTTTAGAGTCATTTGGCCGCTATGCATTTCCACACGATCTGACACTTGGCTGGGCTATCGTTTGTGATGGCCAGGTCGCTTCTGAGAAAGAAAAAAGAGCTACATCGCTCAGTGGGCCTTACTTGGTAAAATAAAAAAAAATTAGTTGAGACGGCAGCTGAAATTTTACAACAACAACAACAAAAGCTAAGCTATATAAGAATAAGTTTTACCCTCTCTGGCAATAAAACGTTTGTGTTGCGATTGTTAAAACACCAAACAGCAACCTTTTGTAAGGAATCGTGTCTGCATGAATCACATATACTTTGTGGTGAACATGCAAACAAAAAACACGATGCATTGTCTTTGAAACTGATTGGTTCACACCAGGGACGGCTTTCATCAAGAGCCGAGTCTCAAACAGCTGTTCGCCTTTTGGCGTCCTCTGGACTAATACTGTTTGAGACCAGGCGATTGATTCTTGCATGCATCCGTGTGGAGCTTTGAGTGTTTTTTTTATAAGTAGCCCGTAGGCGTGGATTTTTCTCCGAGTGCGTTGGTCCCCCCACCCCCGGCCCCCTTATCAAATCTTGTGTTTGGCCCCTGTCCGAAACGTCTCGAACCGGGGTCGGCAACCAAAATAACAAGACGAGCCATTTAAAAAAAAAAAATTCGGGTAAAACAAAAACGCACATGTCAAGAGCCGCAATGCACTGCGTGGTGAACGCGAGACGGCGGAGTTCCTCAATAGAAAAACTGTCACGTGGCGAGTCCATAAAGAGCAATCACCGCATGCAGATCCAGGAGACGCGCAGGGTGCCGACTGCCCCTGACCTACAGCAACCGTCACCATCGTTTCTCACCTCCGGTCGGCGTTTCCCACCGCAAAGGAGGCGTCTTTACAATCGCTATTTTGTGTGGTTTTTTTATTACACGCTTTCTTTTAACTCACTCTGTCTGTTGTTGTTGTTGTCGTCGTTGTATCCTCAAATCTTGTAACTCAATTTTAACCAACTTCCCAATGTGGTATCGACTGCAAACTTGGTATACTTATGTCATACTGATGACAATACTATATTCTATCATTAAAAAGGACACGGTCCCCCTTACGTTGTGGCAAGCTTCGTTGGCCACTTCCTGGAGTCGTGGAGTTCTGCCATTACTAGTACATTTCATAAAAGCGTGTTTAAAAAAAAAGTTTTAAAAATATATTACTTATTTTCCTTCTTATTCTTCTCAGCAACAACAACAACGACAAACCACAATCGGTATACTATTTGGTTCTATTCGGTAAAGTCACGTAGGTAAAAAATAAAACAACAAAAATCACGACGTTTCGGCCACAACACAAGCGGCCTTCATCAGGTGAAGGGATCAGGCTGTCCCGAGGACAGCGCTGGAGTGAAACACAGCCACACTCAGACCGCGACAATCGGTATGCCAAATGGCAGCGGCAGAGCCATGTTGTGTGCAGCGTCCTAGCAACTACTCAGCCACTGGTACAAAGATGCACGGTCCCGGGCTGGGTTGTTAGCTCAGCAGGCTCAGCAGGAACAGCAGCAGCAGCAGCATCAGCAGCAACAAACGAGCCTTTCGCAACTAGCAAAGCGCAAGAGCAAGCAAAACAATTCAAACGAGGGCGAAAGCAAGCTAATAAATAACATCTGTCAGCGAAAAGACATTATTATAAAGAATCGCAGCAATTGTTGCGTTTTGCGTCTGCTGTGAGTGGCCACACACACACAAACACTGCGTGGTGTTTGCACGCGGACGAACACATAATAAGCAATTGAAGAGAACCGTCAATGGCAGGGACGCTGCGGTGTGGCAATCAAACATCAGTGGCAGTCTCGGTGGGTGCGGGGGTGGTGGTTGGGAATGTTCGCAACTGAATTCAAGATTTAGATTTAAAGCTTTCGTGACTGCAAGGATTCATCTTCTTTGGTGCTTTCGGTAAAGTCACGTAGAATGAGAATAAAATAATACATTGATAAAATAAAATAACACAATTATATTCTCACGACGTTTCGGCCACAACACAAGCGGCCTTCATCAGGTGAAGGGACGAGACTGTCTGGAGGACAGCGCTGGAGTGAAAAAGCCACGCTCAGATCGCGACCTTCTTCTCACACAGCTTAAAGGTCGCGATCTGAGCGTGGCTTTTTCACTCCAGCGCTGTCCTCCAGACAGTCTCGTCCCTTCACCTGATGAAGGCCGCTTGTGTTGTGGCCGAAACGTCGTGAGAATATTATTGTGTTATTTTATTTAATCAATTTATAATTGTATTCTCATTCTACGTGACTTTACCGAAAGAACCAAAGAAGATAAATTCAAGATGTTAACTACCTCGCCTCGTATACAGGAGGTCGTGGGGTTCGACCCCGACCCTGACCGCCTCTATGTTTGGAGTCTGCGTGTGTCTCTCTCGCCGTGGTCACGTGGATTTATTTTTTGCATCCGGGGGGGTCCTCCGGTTTTTTCCCCTGCACATTTAGTGTTCAGATTGTCCGCTTGCTATAAATCTCCACACGATAAGCCGCTTCGTTGAGCTATCATTTGTGGCCAGGTCGCTTCTAAAAAAAAACAAGATAATAGCTCAGTGGGCCTTAACTGGTAAAATGAAAGAAAAAAACTAAGTTTAGTAGTTTATCATTTTACCATCATTTCTTTCCCCCAAGCTCTTGCTCAGTTTAAGAAACATGTTAACTCTGACTTCTTTGGTTCTTTCGGTAAAGTCACGTAGAATGAGAATAAAATAATAAATTGATACAATAAAATAACACAATAATATTCTCACGACGTTTCGGCCACAACACAAGCGGCCTTCATCAGGTGAAGGGGGCGAGACTGTCTGGTAGGACAGCGCTGGAGTGTGACTCCAGCGCTGTGTGACTCCAGCGCTGTCCTACCAGACAGTCTCGCCCCCTTCACCTGATGAAGGCCGCTTGTGTTGTGGCCGAAACGTCGTGAGAATATTATTGTGTTATTTTATTTTATCAATTTATTATTTTATTCTCATTCTACGTGACTTTACCGAAAGAACCAAAGAAGATGAATCATTGCAGTCACGAAAGCTTTAAATCAAAATGTTAACTCTGATCTATTACAACTTTCATTAGTGCTGTTTTATCGACATATATTGTATGATAATAGGGTTTTTCCACTTTTTTCTGGCAACAAAACTGAAACCTTTTTACAAGGATTCATGTCTGCATTAACCACAATACCTGCAGTCAAAATGCAAACAAAAACATACTATGATAATATATGCATTGTCCTTGAAACTGATTGGTCCACACCAAGGGACGGCTTTCTTTTGAGCCTCGACCCAATTGTATTTGAGCTGTACGCATTTTGGCGTCATCTGGTCGAGCACCAATTGGGTCGAGGCTCAAAAGAAAGCCGTCCCTTGGTGTGGACCAATCAGTTTCAAGGACAATGCCACATATATTATCATAGTATGTTTTTTGTTTGCGTTTTGACTGCAGGTATTGTGGTTAATGCAGACATGAATCCTTGTAAAAAGGTTTCAGTTTTGTTGCCAGAAAAAAGGGGAAAAACACTATTATTATGTTTTGGTACTGGCAAAGGAGGTCTAATGATGATATATTGTGTGTTTTAGTGATTTGATTCCTATACTTTGTACTCCTATAGTTTTTTTTAACGTTCTGACCCGGCCCTACTGGACACCTGTGAAAAAAAAGAGCTATCATGGCTCATCGGATTTCTCCGGGACGAATAAAGATTCTGATCTCCGCGTGAAATGAGAACACGCACGATCACCCAGGCTGTGCGCACGATCACCCAGGCTGTGCGCACGACGACGATTTGTGTAAGACGACAACTGAGTTTACAGCCCTTGCAGGTCCAAGTCCTTCAACTCAATCGGTCCACAAACTCTCTCCCGTGCGCTGTAGTCCACCCTCCACCCCCCCCCCCCCCCCCCACTTGTCCCGCGGTTTATTTTTTCGCTGACCCCATAGACTTTGGCTGCAGGATCGCCTGCGGCACCAACCCAAATGCAGAGCGCCTGTTGAGTTGCCAACTCCCTTCACGTTCGCACAGCGGCCGGGCCCTCGGCTGTAACGCGCCAGGCATCGACGCGCGTGTTCTCGTTCAGCTCCATGGTGGGAATTTGAAATGTGATTGCTGCAATTACCCGGGTGGAGGTAGTGGAGGGGGGGGGGGGCCTTGTCAGGTTTCTTGTTGCACGAATGTGCTCCGATTTATTTCCTTGTTTAATGTCAAAGTTCGTTGCAGCATCCCCTCCTTTTCACGGCTGCCTCCTTGTCCGCCGTCTCACCTCGGACACAACTTCCCTTGTCTCATTCTCCGCTCCGGACTTCAATCTTTTTGTCTCTCGTTCTCACGAGCGCGTCCTGCCCATTGCCACTCGATTTGCTTTGATGAAAAAGAAGAAGAAAAAATTCCCACAGCATCAGTGACCCCAATTACTTTAAACTTGGTTCTTCATTCCTTGACCAATGTGAACGGAGCTTGTATTACGTTAATTAAAGCTACAATTGTGATTATTTAGTGCCTGAACTTGAGAACGTGAATTGCATAACAATTGCAGTGTTAGGTCACTGTAGTTTAAGTTGCAGATTTTGACATTGGTTGGGGGCGATTAGTGGTGCAATGGTTAGCACGAATTGCTGCCCACTGCCATGAGCCGGGGCGACCAAAGTTCGATTCCTGGTTGCGGTTAACATAATTGACGAGTGACCAGACCTCACCACACACCTCACTGCCCTTTCAACAATTTGTACCGACTTGCACCGACCAGAGCGGTGAAGTACGGTCAACACCCCCCACCCGCTCATGACAACTGACACGGCGTGCAAGAGGCATTCATCCAGCAGTGGATTGATAAATAGCTGTACATTTGTTAGAATTGGTTTAAGCCTAGCGTATGGAGCCGATTAACCACGTGCAATGTGCAGCGACTCCCCCGTCAAACGCAACGACAGCGTGGACATATTTTGGCAGAGTAGCCAACAGAATCCGTGCCAAATGCCATTGGGACCCTGCGCCTCGCACAGACATTCAACACCGAGGGACATCTCCACGAAAATGTCTTCCTTCGAGGCCCCCTCACGAAGTTTCCCGATATTTTGAACACCGATACTTGGCCAAGAAATGGAACACGGGGAGTCGCCGACGGAGATGGAGCGATGCAATCAGTTCGCACGCAGCTTGCTAAAATCGCAGCATCGCGAGGAGGAGGGTGGCGTCTTTTGGGAGGCATTCATCCAGCAGAAGTGCATTGACCATGGCTGCTACTGCCGCTGATGATGATGCTGATGATGCTGATGATGCTGATAATGATGCTGCCGCTGATGATGCTGTTACTTACTGGTATCAAACCTGTCAGATTTGCGGCACAGTTGTATGATCGGGTTTCATGACGCATTCGTTGACTCTGGTCTCTGTGTGCGTTTGTTTAGCGCACTTTAGCTGAACCCATTTCGGTGTGAGTCGTGTTGTGTGTACACCGGGTGCAGGCTACGACGCTGCGGTTAATGTGCCCGGCTAGGTGTGTGTCTCTCGCTCTGCCTTTTTGTGTGTGTGGCGTAACTCAAAGGGGCTTTACTGAGCCGTGACAAATCAAAGGGAGGTGTGATTTGTGCCGATAGGGTTTCAATGAGAAGTCAATAAAACACGGCTAGCCATTGGGCAAGAACTGTTTGTACTTCTGTTAAACCCCCACCGCTCCGTTATTGAATCCGAGCGTCAGCCGGGGTGGACGATTACGAGGCTTTTCAAGAGTTCTTTATTTAGAAACTGAGATAAAAGCCACTGTGGTGGGTGGGTGGTCAGTCCACACACGCGACGCTCGTGAGGCTCTGCGCCGGTGTTGGCTTCGTTTCGCAACACACCGACGGACGGACGGACCCACGACCCCAGTCATAGTATTGCGGGACCGGCAGCGAACCTCGGAGCTCGGCGATTGTTGCTGGCCGGCCGCCTCTCAAGCCACTGTGGGGAGCGGTGGCGCAGCGGTTAGCGCTACGCTACGCTGCGCTGCGAACCTGACCACCCAGGTTCGATTCCCGCTCACGGCTAACACCGGTGACGATGATTTGAACCGGTCTCTGGGCCTCCCCTAGGTCGACTCAGCCTCAAATTAGTACCTGGTGCGATGTGTGAACATCGCCACCGGGGAGACAAAGGCGGCCGGGCGTGTTGTTGGCCACCGACCCATTCGCGTGCCGTGCCGGCCTTCGTAGGTTGCTCCTCGCTAACAGCACTTGCCCCTCCAGTCTGTTAAGGCTACACGGGGGATCTGTATCTTTGTCTCAGGCTGAGAGTCCACGTTTCCTCCTTGCGGCTCTTCGGCTCGCCTCCTTAGCGGGCAGCCGTTTTAACTTTAAAGATAATGTGTTTAATGTGGCAGGGAATGGGTCATTATGGAATGCGACGACAAAATGTACAACAGTCAAACAAATAAGTGTGGGGGGGGGATAAATAGACACAGTTTATTCCATCGCCTATTTTGTTTATTCAAGTTAGAATTTGTTTGTCATCTGCGTTATACTTGCTCATACCTGTCAACCCCTTATCAGTGCCCACTTTATTACAGACCAATTCAGACCTTATGGGTCACCCCGTGCCTTTATGAATCTCAACGTTCATCTTACAAAGTCCCATCACAAGGGAGAAACACAAACAAATAGACAAAACGTTTTATTTTGCCCGTATTGAAACGGCTGTACGTCGTATGGGGCCGTCCATAAATGACGTCATGCACCTAGGGGGAGTCAGACATTTGTGACGATGTGTGACGGAAGGGGGGGTTGGGAAGTGTGACGTCACATCAAAATGCGCAACTTTAAATAAATATAGACAACACGTTCTACTTAATTAAATAGACGTTTTAATGTTTTCTCTCCTACAACATCACAGTGCAGCGCCACATTAAATACGCACTACAATGACAATAGTTTAAAGCGATTTGAAGCATGTTTTATATATTTTGGGGGGGGGGGGGCAGAGCTTTGTGACGTCATATTTTAGGGGGGTCTGACTTTTTGTGACGCCCTATGACGTAATTTATGGACGGCCCCTATGGACCTGAAAACTCAATTCCCCTGTACAGGAATTCGGGGTAAACCGCGTGGGTTGACAGCTGTGTGCCTGCTGCTGTGTTTGTGTTCAAGTAGCTCCGCGTGTGATGCGTCTCTCGAACTATTTTGGTCGAAGACAAAAAACTAAAAAATATATAAATATGATTTGGAGCTTTCGTGACTGTAGGAATTACTCTTGGGTTCTTTCGGTAAAGTCACGTGTAGAAAGAAACAATAAATTAAATAATATAACCAAAGAGTAAAATAAATCTTCTTCTTTGAAAGGTTATGACCCCTGCCTGGGTGTGACGATCCCTCAATCAGGCTCAGTGGTCATCCCCCCTCCACCACCACCACCACCACCAAAGACAAAGATCCCCCGTGTAGCCTCAACAGACTTTTTGGGGCAAGTGCAGTCAGCGAGCAGCACCAATGTGATCCACCACACCCGACCGCGTCTACTACGCACCGCATCAGGTGCTCAATTGAGGCTGAGTTGACCTAGGGGAGGCGCAGGACCCGTTCGGGTAATCGTCACCGATGTTGGCCGTGAGCCGTGAGACCAATCCTCAAGTGGAACATTGGGATCTTGGAATTCTCTTCGAATTTCCTCGCCGACACGTGACGTCACCAACCTTGGCGGGAAAAAAGCACGGGCGTGACGTCACAGGGAGCGCCGCCATTTCCGCGACATCACGTGTTCGAATCATTTCGAAAAAACAAACCCAATAATATTCAATCTCGCATCGAGGCGAAATTATCCGATTTTGTCGGATTACGTACGTATTTTTGACTTTTTTTCGCACCGTACGTAACCAACGGTGCTAATCAGAGGTGCAGGGGAAGGACAACAGAAACTAAACACAAAAATAAGTTTGAAAGAAATTAGTTTTCAATCTCCATGATTTAAAAGTGCATAGCTCCAATGGCTTCCTAATATCGGAAGAAAGAGCGCTCCAGACTGCCGCAGAAAGGGCGCAACGCGGTGAGCGTCTTTATTTTCGATGGTCAGCGAAAAATCCGTCGCTGCGAGGATGGTGACGGTTTAGGCTCCTTAACGAGATCGGCGAGGTTACCCCGCGGTTCAATTGCGGGCGCAAGGGGCCGTCCATAAATGACGTCACACACCTGGTGGGGGGGGGGGGGGTCAGACATTTGTGACGATGTGTGACAAGGGAGGGAGGGGGGGTTGAGAAATGTGACGTCACATCAAAATGCGCAACTTTAAATAAATATAGACAACGCGTTCTACTTAATTAAATAGACCTTGTTAATAAATGTTTTCTCCTACAACATCAGAGTGCAGCGCCACATTAAATACGCACTACAATGACAACAATAGTTTAAAGCGATTTGAAGCATGTTTTATTTTCAGAATGGAAATATGGTTTTGGGGGAGAGGGGGGGCAGAGTTTTGTGACGTCATAAGGGGAGTTGGTCTCCCACGAAACCCCCCGCACCGAACCCGCGAGTCACCGCCACGCGGCCGTCTCCGTGCGCGCTAGGCGAGCCAGCTGGTGCTCTACTGGTTTCCCATGAGCGCGCCGTGCCGAGCCGTGCTCATGCTGTGCCGCGAGCTGGGCCTCAGCACGGAGCTGCGGGTCGTCGACCTCATGAAGGGCGAGCAGCTCAAGGACGACTTCCAGCTCATCAACCCCATGCACACCGTGCCGGCCCTCGACGACGGCGGCCTGCGACTCTGGGAGAGGTGAGGGGCGTGTGGGGTGACGTGGGGGGGGGGGGGGGGGGTAGGAGCAGAGCGCTCGGCTGCACGTGCGGCAGGGATAGGGACACGTGGTGGTAGGGGATAGGGACACGTGGTGGTAGGGGATAGTGACACGTGGTGGTAGGGGATAGTGACACGTGGTGGTAGGGATAGTGACACGTGGTGATAGGGGATAGGGACACGTGGTGGTAGGGGATAGTGGCACGTGGTGGTAGGGGATAGGGACACGTGGTGGTAGGGGATAAGGACACGTGGTGAAAGGGGATATGGACACGTGGTGGTAGGGGATAGGGTCACGTGGTGGTAGGGGATAGGGACACGTGATGGTAGGGGATAGTGACACGTGGTGATAGGGGATAGGGACACGTGGTGAAAGGGGATAGGGACACGTGGTGATAGGGGATAGGGTCACGTGGTGATAGGGGATAGGGACACGTGGTGGTAGGGGATAGTGACACGTGGTGATAGGGGATAGGGACACGTGGTGATAGGGGATAGGGACACGTGGTGATAGGGGATAGGGACACGTGGTGGTAGGGGATAGAGTCACGTGGTGGTAGGGGATAGTGACACGTGGTGGTAGGGGATAGTGACACGTGGTGGTAGGGGATAAGGACACGTGGTGGTAGGGGATAGGGACACGTGGTGGTAGGGGATAGGGACACGTGGTGGTAGGGGATAGGGACACGTGGTGAAAGGGGATAGGGACACGTGGTGGTAGGGGATAGTGGCACGTGGTGGTAGGGGATAGGGACACGTGGTGGTAGGGGACAGGGACACGTGGTGGTAGGGGATAGTGACACGTGGTGATAGGGTTGGGGGCACTGCATAGACGCGTGGGACGAGGAGACACGAGATTTGGACACAGGACTAGAGATCACCCACACCTCTTGGGAATGTCTACTAAAGAGCGTTGCCGGGTGGCTCGGGGGTCCGAGCACTGAGCTGACACGGCTGAGATGCTGGCTGTGAATCCAGGTAGCCACCTGCGATTGAACTGGGTGCTTAAATGTAGTGAGTTGATGGTCTCAGCCCGGTCACCAATGACCGCGCACATATTTGTTTTACGCTTCTTTTAGGTTGTTAAATTTGGCTACGTTCCAGCTTTGAGAACGAAACGTTGGCTTGACCGTCACGTGACAAAATGTACCCTCCTGTTGTGGAGCCGATCGGAACGTGCTGCCACCTTCGGCGTTTGCACCGCAGGCCACTTGAAGGGACCTCAGGGGCAGCTCTGTGACATCGCCTTCCTGCTGAGCCACGATGCGCTTGCTCTGGCGCTACAGAGATAGTGGCGCAATTGTGGACGAAGTAAAACAAAAATAAACTCCTTAAAGTTTTTTTTTCTAAAAACAAAGTTTTTTATTCACAACTTCGTTTAACTCCCGGTCGAGAAGTACGTCAGTGATGCGGCGTCTTGCTCCCACATCAACGCTTACTTGAATAAATTGGTTATTTTATAAATTAATATTTAATGCACAACCTTTGTTCGTGTTGGAGTGAGGGTGCCCGCAACTCGTTAAGACACGGAGCACGTGGCGCCTGAGACACGTGGCGCCCGCTTCTTGGGCGAGGCGATTCCAGAGTTTAGGGACCGCGGCGTTTTTGACCTACACAAATATATAAATAATAAGCCGTCCATAGAAAATGTTAATTGCTTTAAAGGAGCGAATTAATTGATGAATTGATGCCGATTTTGATACAGGCATGCATTGTCACCGGATCTGAGTACCGTGTGCAAAATGTGGAATTGATTGGACAGCGGGAAGTAGACTAACTTTTGATTACAAGATTTGACCGCGGCACAGAAATCAAGTTAAGTAAACCCGATTTAAAGCTTTCGTGACTGCAGGGATTCATCTTCTGGGTTCTTTCGGTTAAGTCACGTAGAATGGGAATAAAATAATAATAACAGAATAAAATTCCCACGACGTTTCGCCACTCAAGCGCCGTCTTTCGGACAGTCCTGTTTCTTCACCTGAGGAAGGCTACTTGTGTTGCGGCCGAAACGCCGTGAGAATTGTATTCTGTTATTATTACTTTTATTATTTTATTCCCATTCTACGCGACTTTACCGAAAGAACCCGGAAGATTAAGTAAACCCGTTGTAAAAAGAATCACGTTACAAAGAAGAGCATCGCGCGCGTGGGCAGGTGCCTGCCCACGCGCGCACAGCCAGAGAGCCTCATCGTGCTCCTGACGGGGCAAGGAAGAGACACAGGGAGGAGCGGATTCGAGGTGGCACCACGTCCGCTCCACGCCAGGCGTGCAAGGTCGAAGCGTCCCTGTCCGTAGCGGTCAGCGCGCTGCGATCACGAAAGCCCCGAATCAAAGCCGCGTTCCATTCACGGCCACCAACACCAGTGACGCTTGTTATTGGATTCCGGTCCTTCCTGCCGCCATTCCCCTACATAAACTCAGCCTCAACTGAGTAGCTGGCACGATGTGTAAATAAATATCGCCACTTGGCACCGTGCGTGGTGGTGGCCCACCCGCACCCCATCGTGCGCCACAGAGCCCGGCCTTCACCGGCGCTCGTTGACAGCACGTGGCCACCGACGTTTCGTTAAGGCTATGATGGGATGGGGTGGGGTGGGGGGCAGTGCGGAGCCTGTAGCGTATGTTATAAAGGGGCCCTAAATAATCACACAAATATTAAAACAAATGTTGAACTTGCACAGTAAAGTAATTGCATTTTTTCATTTGCTATTTTTACAGCCAGATAATACGACAAATTGCTAACCTTAAACACCCAGGCGTTCGTTCGTAAAAGTTGAAGGCGGTATAGTACTATAGTGATAGAGCAAGTACAGAATCACTGAACCGGAATTGAAAGCTTGAAAGCATTTAGCGCGGGGCCCTTTAAAGTGCAGGGCCTCGTAGCTACTACTACATGTGTAGCTACTTGTGCTACTGGGATAATCCGACACTGATGGGGGGGGAAAAGGGGTGGAATCTTCTTTGTCTTTGACCTCTCTACCCCCCCCACCCCCCGTTCCACACGGCAGCCGCGCCATCCTGCAGTACCTGGTGAACAAGTACGCCACCAAAAAGGCAGATGCCCTCTACCCGCGGGAGGCAGCTGCCCGCGCCCGCGTGGACCTCATGCTCAACATCAGCCTGAGCACAGTGAACAAGGCCATCGGGGAGTATATGGTATGTGAACTGGTCCGACTGGGCCTCCCCTAGGTCGACTCAGCCTCGAGTGAGTACGTGGTGCGGTGTGTAAACGTCGCCACCGGGGAGACAAAGGCGGCCCTGGCGTGGTGCTGGCGGCTCACCCCCCTCGTGTGCCGTGCCGGACTTCATAGGGTGCCACTCGCTAACAGCACTTGCCCCAACGGTCTGTTAAGGCTTTACGGGGGATCTTTGTTGCACCCCGCTCACAGTGAAAACATGGATCCTGCCATCGTGTAAGCCTTCACAGTGATTTGCTGCAACATCACTGTCCAAGGGGCGATGCAAGATCACTTTTGACGGTATTTTCACTCGAACTGGTATTGGCCAGAAGATCGCAATGTCGAGGAATGACCTGCAAATGACCTGCAATTGGGACTACACACACAGCACCAGTAACATGCACTCCCCACCTCCAAAAACACTTGGGAGGAGCCTTCTGACAAAGGTTTTGAGACTCGGCGAGACTTCGTGGAAAATCAAAACAATCACAATTTTTTTAAAAATGCTATGATACTGGTACCAGTTACCCATAGCTTTGTGAGTGTATTTTGTGCGTGTCTTGTGTCTGTATCATTTTTATGTGTCCTATGTGAGTTGTTTTGCATGCCTGTCTTTGTGTTTTCATATGCATGCGTATCTGCCTCCGTGTTTCTGTTTGTATCGCACGAAATTCTGCCCTTAATAGGTTCTCGCGAATAGCACGTCTCAGCATTGTTTTAAAGGCTGTGTTGATGATATTTGTCGTCTGTGTGTGTGTATGTGCGCGCGTTTCTCTTTGCTATGCAGTACCCTCAGCTGTTCCAGAAGAAGCCAGCTGACCCAGAGAAGGAGACCAAGGTGAAGGAGGCGCTGCAGTTCCTCGAAAAAACCTTGCAGGCAAACAATTACCTGACTGGAAACCACATGACCATCGCAGGTGAGACTCTCTGGCCGGCTCTGCGAGCTGATTTGAGGCTGGGCCTTTAGGGGCTGCAGACTATGGCCTCGGATTTTGAGGGGCCCTAATTTTGACAGTTCGACAGATCAAGAAACGCGTGCAAAGAAAATGGAACTAAAGCTGAAAAGTGCTTCAGAGAAAGAGTGGAAAGGGGCGTGCGCAGAATTGCATTGAGAAAAGAAAGACGAACACCTACATTAGAGGACACACACAAGTTAACCTCCCTTTCCTGTTCCGAGACTGCAAGTTGAAGGGTGAGGGTCCCGTCCACCGCTAAATTTCGGAACGCGCAAAGCGGTTCTGCGTTAATTTCATTTAGAGAGGTGTAGTGCCGTTGTTTTTAAAGACATTGTGCTTGCCACACAACTGTAGCGACACGACCGCACTCTACGATAGCTGGCGCCCAACTGTGCCACACGCCCTCCCGCATGGCCTTGCAGGAGCCTCGGTACCGATAGTTGTTTTATTTGAGTTTTTCTGCTTCCTTTCCGATGACGTACATGTGCATGTATGTGTACGTCATCAGAACGGGAAAGGGTTAAGAGAGAGATGTTAAGTCAAGTGGACCTGCGCAGACAAGTTGCTCTCGGGAATGACGGCCGGGCGGTGACACTGATTGCTAAGTGGCACACAAAGGACGTCTATCGCGCAGATGGCGAGCTTAGGTCTGTTCATGTGCAGGCACCTGGGTGGGTTTTTGCATCGCGAGACTGATAATAACATTTTGACTGCAGGTATTGTGGTTAATGCAGACATGAATCCTCGTAAAAAGGTTTCATTTTTGTTGCCAGAAAAAAGAGAAAAAAACCCTATTATTATATTTTGGTACTGGCAAAGGAGGTCTAATGATGTAGATGCTCACCCCGAGCCCTCATTACTTTGATAGTGCATTGTCTTTGAGCTGTGTAAACGCCTTTTGGTGTCATCTGGTCGAGCACCAATTGGGTCGAGGCTCAAAAGAAAGCTGTCCCTTGGTGTGGACCAATCAGTTTCAAGGACAATGCATATATTATCATAGCATGTTTTTGGTTTGCATTTTGACTGCAGGTATTGTGGTTAATGCAGACATGAATCCTTGTAAAAAGGTTTCAGTTTTGTTGCCAGAAAAAAGGGGAAAACCCCTATTATTATTAGAACGAGGGTAGTTTAACGCCACTCGACACAGCCGGGTGGTGGCGGGTTTAACGACGCATTTATATTTACGCGATCTAACCCACAAAACTATTTTATGGAGAACGAGGGTAAATGGACAAAACTCGGGGGTAAAGGCCAGTTTAAAGCGGCGAGTTTTCAAGATTGACTTAAATATATTGACTTAAATATATCTAACGATGGTGGCTTCATCCACACTGCCGATATTAGGAAGCCACTGGAGCTATGCACTTTAAAATCGAGATTGAAAACGAATTTCTTCAGAACTGCTTTTTGTGTTTAGCTTGTTGTCCTTCCCCCGCACCTCCGATGAGCACGGTTGGCCACGTACAGGTGCGAAAGAAGTTAAACGTGCGTACAACCCCCGTCACGCACACCCCCTCCCCCCGCGCCAGACCTGTGCATGGTGACAGACGTGAGCATGCTGGAGCCCGTCGCCTACAATCTGGCATCGTACCCGTCACTCGTCGCGTGGATCGGGCGCATGAAGCAACTGACGTACTACGGAGAGTGCAACCAGGGCCTGGAGGACTTCAAGAAGTCCATGCAGTAGCTGAGCGTCGGCCAAACGTGGAGCGCGGCCGGCCGGCCGGCCACCGAGGTCCGGGTCTGGGCTCGAGAGGCGACCACCTTCCCCCTCCGTTTTAGGGTTCTACGATTGTTGTTCACCGGCCGGGTTGGTACAGGCAATGGGTTTGGTTGTAACGGAGAGAAAAAAAAATCCCAAAATGTTGAGAATTGGATTGAATGCGACGCAAAATGTACAACGCGACTTCGTTTGCCACGCACGTTTTGTGATTCAATGCGAAGGGCATTGAATTTCGTGCTGCGGTTCAGACTCGGTGGGGATGGATATGCTAAACAATTTTAAACTTTTTATTTTACCAGGTAAGGCCCACTGAGCTACACAGCTCTTTCTCAGAAGCGACCTGGCCACAAATCAGAGCTCAACGAAGTGGCTATTCACGTTGAAATGTATAGCAGCAAAATACCCGAAACGCCCGCTTCTAAATGTGAAGGCAGAAACCGGAGACTCCGGAGAAAAATCCACGCAACCACAGGGAGAACATGCAAACTCCAAATATACAGGCGTCGGGGTCGAGATCAAACCCACGACCACCTGGATACCAGGCGAGGTAGTTGTAGTTAACATCTCGCTACCGTATGTAGCCGCACAACGCATCAAGTCATTGTTTAATTTGTATTTTGACACTTATGACACGCGCTTTGAATTGTGCATGAGAGTAGATTAGCTACAACTTATGCGAATCACATGCTGCTGGATTTGGGCGCGAGGTTACATTGTTACATGCCTGATATATTGTACATACTCCATATGAATTGCTGCCCTCGAAAGAATCTCATCGTCTCTGGGCCCAGACCAAGCATTGTTCTCTTTGGTACCATCGGAGATGGCAAAACTTGAGTTGGACCAACATTTTGATTTAAAGCTTTCGTGACTGCAGTAATTCATATTCTTAGTTTTTTCGGTAAAGTCACGTTGAAGAGAAACAACAAAATAATAAAATATATATAAAACAATAAAACATTCTCACGACGTTTCGACCATAACTCAAACGGTCATCTTCAGGTGTGTTGGTTTGCATAAATTTATTTTTAAACGGCGCATTTATTTATTTATAAAAAACGTTAGCGTCACGCGCAGCGATTTGGCAGTTTACCCAGGACTAGTCCATCTATATTTTGAAAAGAGGAGGGGGGAGACGAATTTTTTTATAATGTATGCTGTCTGAAAGCCACTGTAAGCGTGAACAATCAATTAAGAACTGAAATGGTTTATCAAATCTTTCCAATGATTGCTAAGATAGAATCTCCAAAATCTTGAATAAACACAAGATCCAGGTCCGTTTCAACACATTACATAAAATCCGTGATCTGGTTCCGTCTGTAAAAGATGTGATTCCGGACATACAATACCCTGGTGTCTACAAACTAAGTTGCCTCTGTGGTAGTAGTTACATTGGAGAAACCAAACGCCATGTCTCGGACCGCATTCGTGAACATAAAGCAGACCTTAAACACGGTAGGACCAACACCTCGGCCGTAGCAGATCATTGTTCTAATTCAGTAGGCTCACATGCCATTGACTTTTCCAAGACAGAGGTTCTTTGTAAGCCATCTGGCTTCCATGAGAGATTCGTTCATGAGGCTATCCACATATACAAGCACAGAGACAATTTCAACCGAGAAGATGGATTCTATCTTAGCAATCATTGGAAAGATTTGATAAACCATTTCAGTTCTTAATTGATTGTTCACGCTTACAGTGGCTTTCAGACAGCATACATTATAAAAAATTTCGTCTCCCCCCTCCTCTTTTCAAAATATAGATGGACTAGTCCTGGGTAAACTGCCAAATCGCTGCGCGTGATGCTAACGTTTTTTTTATAAATAAATAAATGCGCCGTTTAAAAATAAATTTATGCAAACCAACACACCTGAAGATGACCGTTTGAGTTATGATCGAAACGTCGTGAGAATTTTTTATTGTTTTATATATATTTTATTATTTTGTTGTTTCTCTTCAACGTGACTTTACCGAAAAAACTAAGAATATGAATTTGGACCAACATCTTTAAATGGCCAATAATACCTAATAATGCAATGACATTATTTCATATGTTATCGCATAATCCCCTTTGACTAAGCCATATAGAGAAACTGGTAACTCTAAATATGTTCCACCACCCGTGGTAACCAAAATGTTATCTGGCCCATTGCCTACACGGATTTCCTTTCGTTTTCCTGCAGAAGACAAGCAGGTGAAGGGGTGGAATTATCTTATTCCTGCTCTGCGGCAGGACAAATGTGTCGATATGCAAAAGGTACAATCTTCACGTATGAAATAAGGACTCATTCCTGTACGGTCACTGGCTGTGCTCGAAAATCCTGGATTTGAAACCAGCAGTGATATACAGCACGACCCACTACCCGCCCTGGGTTAAGTCCAGTTATGTAACACAATGGAGTACGACCGCTTTTGTAAGCGCAAGAGCAGTTGGCATGTTGAGGTTTCACGCCCCCCGTAACATATCAAACAGCCCAGGGCCATGCCCTCTCTTTAGATGACCTGACATTTGAGACAAGTCACCATAGTCAAATATTATTTTTCGTAGGATTTCCAGTTCTTTAATTCGATGACATGGTCATGAATAAAGTTTAAAAAGAGTAACCAATGATGCAAGGGTCCCATAGGTTTGTAATAATACGTCTAAACATTAAAAACACATTTTTTTCTCATATATGTTTACGAGTGTAATTGTGTAAATAACAAATTAATGGATTATTTTAAATACAATATCTCCCTTTATTTTAACCAAAGAGAAAACCCACCTATGCGTTTATCAGGAACATTGTTTTTTGTGCGAGTGTTGTATTGTCAACTCAACATCAAGCTAGGCCTGGTAACGTGAAACTTTACAAATCTGGCTATTGCTGCGGTTTTCGCAGAAGTTTCTCTCAACAGCAGTCAGCTTTTCATTGCGAAGTCTAAACCAAACACTCAAAAGTGTGCAAATACTGTGCTGTACCTTAAGTGTCAGTCGCACGGCGGGGTCAGTTTTGCGGGTGTCTCCCCATCCCTGAAAGGCTTGTCTTTGCCCTGCTGCGGCAGGAGTTCCTTGTTACTGTCTCTTATACGTGGCCAACCCCAGGCACAATTGCCAGCCAACGGGTCTGGTGCCAGCTTCATCTTCTTGGTTCTTTCGGTAAAGTCACGTAGAATGGCAATAAAATAATACAACTTATAAAATAAAATTCTTACGTTTCGGCCACAACACAAGTAGCCTTCAGGTGAAGGAACAGAACTGTCGGGACGACAGCGCTTCAATTAACACTGCTGAGCTTGGCAGCGTCTTTTAAGCTGGGTGGGAGGAGCAGAGCGCCTTGACAAAGGATTTACATATCAACAGAACAATTTAGCATTGAAGTGGCTGTGTTAATGTGTTGGATTAGCAGGGTGTTAAAGTCATAAATTAGCATGTAACTGGGGCCAGCTTGTTCATCCAACCGGGTTCTAGGTCCAGCTTTGGTCCGAGTCACAAAGGGTCATGTGTGTACACAACGGTACTCGACTGGTGCGCCTACCTGCAACGGCTTGCAAACTGTTTTCGCCATATGAAGCTTTCACAACCCGGCAAATGCCTTAACTCAAAGAGGCTTCCCACTATGTGGTGCTATGATGATAAGTACTCTAGTTGTAAGAAGTTGCAAAATGGCCATAAATAAACATTCCTTGAGGACAAAGGTACCTAAGCTTCTATATAGAGACTATGACATCCCTGTGCATCCTGTATCGTGTAAGTCATCACGCAACTGAATGTAGGATCTGTCATCCCTGTATAAACACATTTTCCCGAAGCGCGACCCTTGTGCAATTCCTGAGCGAGTTCGTCAACACCGTAAAACGCAGTCCTTTGGAGAAGTTTCAAATAGACCTTGATTTTAATGTAATAACATTTTGCATTTCATCCTTTTGTATTCAATTTCAAATAAGTTACGAAAAATAAATGCATGTACCATTCACACACATTGTTTCCATTCGCTCGAATTTTAATCCATCGAGGCTGCATGAAATGCGCCTTGAGCAAAAAAAAGAGACTCGATCAAAAATCAAATACAGCCACATCCATCGTGATGAACCTGGACGCATGGCTTGCTCGAGTAAAAAGGTGCGACATCCAGACGACCAGACTTCAACACCTTCCGGCAGCGGTTACCAACAACCGGCCTGCTTACCGGCACTCTGCAAGTCCATGGTGAACTGTAATAGACTACGATTTCACAAAACACCGTATTTTTACAGCGTGGTGATCCGCTATTATATTTTTTTGACAATCGTCCGCGGATCCGGAGAGGTTGAGAACCGCTACCTTAGAGGAAGCCAAATCGATCCAAAACTTTTTTTTCTTCCAGTGGATAGTCACAAGAGTCAAGATTCATTCAAGTCCTCATGGGGAAAGAAACGTAGCTTTGAAAGCAGATGCTGCATCAATGTAGCATTCGTTCATTACTAACCGATCATGGATGTCTCACTCCAAGCATCCGTAATACACATCCCTATTGCAGCTGGCTACTTCCAGAACCAACATAATTTATGAGCCAATCACCTGCTAATGTGCCCAATTTTCATTAGATCTTTCAAGCTAAGCAGGCTTCAGCCAAGATAATAAGTGCACGGGATCAGGCCACCACAATGAGTGCGCACTAAAGGCTGTTTTAGGTGGCTTCGGAGCTGTGTTCAGGTGGTGGTCAGCAGAGGGAAGTTCAGAAAAATCCATTGTTTTACCGTACTTCTATCTTGAAGTAAGATCAAATAAACCCAATGAGCCACGTGGCATTGGGAGGCCCTCATCCAGCAATGGCTGTAAGCATGCACACTTTCAGTTGTGACATAAAAAGGCAGACTGAGTATGCACATTCCAATACACTTGTTAACAATGCTTTTTTTTCCCATTGTCAAACAAACAGACACGAAGAGTAAAAAGAGTTTCTTACAACAGAGTCGCCCTTCTGGCCGATATGCAATGTACATTATTTGTAGCGGGGCTCAGCACACTTCCCCTTGAGCCATTGGTTTATCAGTACCACCCTGGGTGGCCAACGATATCAATAATTTTCTTAAAGAATTGTATCTCTAGATCGCAAAACATCCATGATAGCAAAGTGACTGTGGTAGCTCTTTTTTGGAAGGGCATTAAAGAAGGGCATTGTACATTTTTAATATGATGAATTACGCATGTAAAGCAGACAGTATATCCACGAAAACATTCTGCCCCACTGTCAATTCTGGAAGCCATTTGCCACTCCAGGTAGTACTGACCAAACCCCCTGGCTCAAGGCCAAACAGGACGGAAGTTCTTCCTTCTTCACGCTTGTGCCGAGACTGCCAGAGACGCGCGGGAGTAATTTCAGCGCGCGGTTGACGCTTCATTGGATGAGCAGTGAAAGAGACTCAGACGTCG